TCGATCCCAGGACCCTGGGGTCATGACCTGAGCCGAAGGCAGATGCTTAACGACTGAGCCACCCAGGCACCCAAGGTGGAGCTCTTTGATTTGCTTCAGAAAGTTGACTGACTCGCCTGATTTTTTTTTTTTTTATCATTTCATTTCATTTTTTTAGACGCAGCTCCGAATTGATTCTTTCTTTAGATTAGCTCAACAGGAGAGACAAGATGCTAAGGGTATTAGGAGCCAGAGACTGAACAGAGCTGTGACTTGTATGCTGAGAAAAGAGAGAGAAGCCACAGCCAGCGAAATAGAAGCAGTGTCGGTTGCCATGGAGAACGACTTTGAGTTCCCTGATAAGGCAGAAGGAAACACCCAGAAGAGAAGCCTAGCAAGTAAATGGAAAGAGTCATCAAGCCTGAAAAGAAAGAGGCTTTCTGATTCTAAGCGAGAGAGTAACTGTGGCGGGTTTTTTGGGGGGGCCTGCCTCTCGCCGTCATCTGGGACCTCTTCGGGTGAGGACGCCGAGTGTGTGTCTTCAGTGACGGCGCAGCAGGAGAGAGCAGCCCCGGAGTCACCCGCCAGCCGCCCGGCTTTGCAGAGCGCAGGGACCCCAGCTCCCGCCAGCGAGCAGGGCGCGACCAGCAGCAGCTCTAGTGATGATGAGGGACGGGGGCCTACGCCGGTGCTGGTGACCGCCGGATCTGTGTTTGGGAGGAGAAGGGGGAAACGGGGCGGTCCAAGAGGAAGGAGGAGAAAAACCCAATTAATTTAAGCGCGTTTGTTCTCCCTCATCAGGCACAACTTAACATTTCGTAATGAATTTGTTGTGAGGAAATAATACAATTAAAAGTATTTGCACAATTTTTGTATTGTGTTTTTTTTTAATATGGATGCTGACATTTATTTTTCTGACATGTTACACTTCTCTAGTGTTTTACACGTCATTGACTATTTCCTTGCATTTGCAGTCTTTGCTCATGTTTCTATTATCATACATCTGATGCTTTCCTACAGCATTACAAAAGGGAGAAAGGATTTTTTTTTTTTTAAAGATTTTATTTATTTATTTGACAGAGAGACACAGCGAGAGAGGGAACACAGTCAGGGGGAGTGGGAGAGGGAGAAGCAGGCTTCCCGTGGAGCATGGAGCCCGATGTGGGGGCTCGATCCCAGGACCCTGAGATCATGACCTGAGCCAAAGGCAGACGCGTAACGACTGAGCCACCCAGGCGCCTGGGAGGAAGGATTTCTGTTGATCAGTAGTCACTGTCAATCAGCATTCTCTTTGACTTTCCGACCCAGATGAGAAGGAATATATCTGTATTTCTTAATTCCATAATAGCGGCCGTTTCCCACACCTATGTGAAGTCCTGTCCCCCCACCCCCAACTGCTTCCCATTTTTCCTCAGGGTCCACTTAAAGCAAGAGGGAACCTCACTGCTACAACATACTTTGAAGAGTATGTCTGCTGCAATTATAGCAAGATAATTAGGAAACCTAGATGGGGTGCGTGATTTCCCCTGTGAGCATTAACCAAATATGGAACCTCTGTACTGTGATGTTTGTCTTTTAAAATACTTTGGTTGTCACGAGCTGTTCTGTGTAAATGGCTGTGGGGGCTCAGGGCTGTGGTTGAACCGGTGTAGGCGGGCCTCCGTTAAGAGCGGCTTCCAGGGGTTGGTTATCGTTAACAGAGACGTTCCTTCTGAGTGGCCTAGCCTAGGTTAGTTTATTATTGCTCGGCCGCTGCTCTCACAACAGCGGCTCCCTGAGTTCTGATTGCTTACAGTTGTGAACAGTCTGAGGCGGGCATCGTCCATTACCTGGAGCCTGGGTTCTTTGGCCTTCAGAGGTACTGTCTACCCAAGTCTGTCTCTTTTCTGACATTTTGGTATTTCTGTCTTTACTGATTTTCTTCCCTCCGCCTTCAAATAATTGAAAATCTTTACCCCAATGAATACTAAATACAGATAACTTTCAACAGCCTTGTACTGACTACTGGACGCTTTTTTTAAGGCTTTCATTTATATTTACTTTTCTGCCCTACTTCTCAGATAGTTGGTCTACAGCTGCGCTTTTCCTTGCTTTTTATTTATTCTTTCCTAATTGGATATATCTCCTCTGATTCTTCCACTCTTCTCCAGCAGCTTTCTTCTAGAGTCGACAATGACTTCCATGTAAATAAACTCAGATCTTTGTTTAATGCGTCTTCTCTCTGGAGGTATTTGAAGCAGAACACTTTTCTTGAGAGGATGGAGTAGGGAGACATTAACTTTTTCACATTATTCTCATTTCTCAAAGCTACTTATAATTGGGAGTTTTCTGCATATTTTCATATTCTCATTTCTCAAAGCTACTTATAATTGGGAGTTTTCTGCATATATGTAAGTAGTACTTTTGTTAAAATTTAATTTTGTTGCCTTTCATAGATAATTTACGTTTGTTTTGCACTACACTAGTTGGGGTGAAGGCTAAGCTGCTGTAGCAAAGAGATCTTCATATACAATGGCCTACACAAGCTGGATCATTATTTATCTCCTCCTCAACAGGCTGGCCAATCTGAGCTGGTTAGGTGGCTGTCCACCGTGAGGTCATTCAGGGTCCCAGGTTCAGCCATCTCCTAGGCTGCTGTCTTGCTTGAATGGTCTTGGTCACTGCTATATCTGCATTTCAACCTGCTGGAAGAGGAAAGAACCAAAGCCCTGGCAAAAAAAAAAAATGACTTTTTTTTTTTTTTTTAAGATTTTATTTATTTATTTGACAGAGACAGAGACAGCGAGAGCAGGAACACAGCAGGGGGAGTGGGAGAGGGAGAAGCAGGCTTCCTGTTGAGCCGGGAGCCCGATGTGGGGCTCGATCCCAGGACTCTGGGATCATGACCTGAGCTGAAGGCAGACGCTTAACGACTGAGCCACCCAGGCGCCCCCACAATGTCATTTGTTAAAAATCACTTATTCTGTTGAATTGAATCGACTATCCAGTATTCTTCAGAAATACTCAGAAATGTAATCTCTACCTGGACTATGTACCCAGGAAAAGGAAAAATGGATATACAGCTTATGCTGCAAATATGATATTTATAGAACATTTTGGTATTTATCCTTTTTTTCTGTAAATCCTCTGACCAAGGCATATCCTTTTACAAGTGAAGAAACAAGCTTGGAGATACTTACCATCTTTACCAAATTCACCCATCCAGTAGGAAAGTGTGACCTGAACCCAAATCTTTCTTTTTCCCCCAAATTTAATTTGAAATTCAGGGTGCAATTTTACCTATAAAATAGGTTGCCTGTTTAAAACCAGCAGCAGCAAAGCAAATTTATCACTATTCAAAGTGAGTTGGTATACATGAGTGTAATGTAGGATGATGACCATCATATATACACTTTTTCTATAAAATTATCTTTCAGCTTACTAATCTTTTCGTCAGCTTTCTCTACTGTTGCTGTTAAACTCATCTGTTGAGTTCTTTATTTCATGTATTGTACTTTCAGTTCTATTTTCTTGACTAATTTTTATAGATTCTAGTTCTTTGGTGTAATTCTTGTCATCTATTCTTTGAATATCTTCATCACAGTTACTTTAAAGTCTGTGTTAAACAATTCCAATATCTGGGTTACCTGTGGGCTTGTTTCTGTTGTCTGTTTCTTGGTATGATTAGTAAACTCAGAGTGAATGCTGGACATTGTGTATAAAGAATTGTAGATGTTGTGGATCTTCCTCTGCAGAGGATTCCGGAAGGTACTCTGGCAGGCAGCAGAGGGAAGATCACCTGACTATAAGCAGGACCGAGTGGATTCAAGCCTGGCTTGCAGTCTTTATAAGACTCCATCTTCCAGTTTCTCCCCATTACTAAAAAAGTAGTTTTTCGGGGGTACCAACTGACACCGGGGGTGTTTCTTATTGTGCGATTTACTCTGCTTTCAGCTACTCTTTGCTTGGAAAATTAGCCTTTTGCCCTAACATCTTATTGAGTAAGTGCCTTGAGTGAAGAGTCAGTGCTGAGTGTGGGGTTTATTTCTCTTGCTTCCTGGGATCTTGGGCTCCCAATTCCTGGCTGCCTTGTCAGCTCCAAACACTATTCTTTGTCTTCCCAATTCTGTGCGATCACGTGAAGCTCTCCTGGCATCCTTCCTTGCCTTCCCTTTGGCTTCTCAGCCTCTTTATTATCAATAATCAGCAAAAACATGGAATTCTTGGCTACCTTGGCAGCTCTCTCCTGACCACGTGTGTGTGTGTGTGTGTGTGTGTAATCTGCTTTTCTAGTTCTCGGAAGCAGAGGTGTGCTATAAGCTACTTACAGGTGGAGGCAGAGGTCTCTATGTACTTTTCAAACAGTTCAGTGTAACTGAAATAATCATTGTCATCATGTCAGTTTAAATGATCTATTTAGGGATTCTGCCTCTTAAGAAATCTGGCACTGAGGTTTCATGATCTTTTAAATAACTCCTTGAAAAAGACAGGTAATTTTTATTCACCAAATGATTATTCTTGTTTTAAAGAAAGCCAAAAAAGAGGATGTCCCCTGCCCAGAATTAACTGCCTATAAATAATAGTTTTCATTGTTTAGGATTTTGCAATTTGCAGAATTTTTTTTTTTTTTTTTTACCTACCATATTCCTCTCACAGATATATAGAGTACCTTTTATATCCCTGTTTTATAGATGAGGAAGCCAAGAAACACATTAAGTAAATACCTCAAATCCCAAGCAAATTTAAAATTAGGCTCCCTTGGGCGCCTGGGTGGCTCAGTTGGTTGAGCGACTGCCTTCGGCTCAGGCCATGATCCTGGAGTCCCGGGATCGAGTCCCACATCGGGCTCCCTGCTGAGCAGGGAATCTGCTTCTCCCTCTGACCCTCCCCCCTTTCATGTGCTCTCTCTCTCATTCTCTCTCTCAAATAAATAAATAAAATCTTTAAAAAAAAATAAAATAAAATTAGGCTCCCAGACTGCTAGTCCCATCCAATACATTCACGTGACCTCAAGCCAACTTTGTATAAAGTATTTCTTAGAAGCTGTACCTACACTCCTCTAAGTTTATTTAACTTTACAATATTGCTCGATTTTGTTACCTATAGTAACTTCTTATTAAGGACATTCTGAGTGACCAGGGAGATTTATACGTGCTCTGAGATGCAGCCATGCGTGTGCACGTGCAACTGTTCGGGTAACAGACACCCTCCGCCTTCCGCTTCAGTCCTAGTCGGAAGGAATTACAGTTGGATGCCTGTGCCCAGAGTGCTACTTCACACATCCTCTAACTTTCTGGTGCGGCTGTCTGATTCTAAAAATGATGCTCACACCCAGACATGTGACAGAAAAAGTACGCAGCCTCCGTCCCACTGGACGTCATAGCTGTGGAGTCCTAAATAACTCTTGGCATCGAAGTTAAAAAAGGGGTCGCTCTGCTCAAATAGTCTTCACTCGCTTGTAGCACTGGTTTATGTTCACTCACTGGCTCTAGCTCTGTTTGTGAGACACAGGGAATATTCCTATTTTCCAGCCCCCTTATTTACGTGCATTCCAGCCTCATTGCTGTACCCCCGAGGCTTGGAAGCTGCAGCTGTCAGGATCCTAATCCCTCCTGCGAGGACTTGCTGCCAGTGTGCTTGCTTCGGAGCTGGCCTTTCCAAGCACCCTCAGAGGTCTCTCCAGCAAAACAAAAGCTGTGTGGATGATATTTTTTAAACTTCTAGAACTCAGCTAACCCGTTTAGGTATGTCCGGACTTAACATTTAACAAACGTTGACCTTCAGGCAGACACGTGTAGTAAAGACTGCTTTTTTTTTTCCTTAAATGGAAGAGGAACTAAATTGGGAACAAAACGCGTGACCACGTTTGCTGTTGTTTAGCTGGTGACCTCAGGGACGTTATTTAACTTCATGCTTTCTTCATCTGTAAGCTGCAGGAGAAAATGATTTGTCTTCTAACTTATTGAGACATACTGCAAAGAAAAATGTGGTGGCTGTGAAAAGTGTTCTGGGATCCTTGGAAGAAGGGAGTGCTATATAAATTCACGGGAGTACGGTGATTATTTATAATATGAACCAAAACTGAAATGTAAAACATCAAATCGTTTTTTCCTGAAGCTGGAATAACAGTTGGTTAAACTTATTCACATGATATGCTCTATTTGAGAGGCACAAAAAACTTTAATTTCTTCAATTTTACATATATTTGGTGACATGGTATATGGGTTCTTTAATGTGAAAGCTACTCAAAAGACCATTTGGTGGTTGGTCTATTAGACATTGGGTTCTTACTAATGATGTACTGATAGAAACAAGTGAACTTTGCCTCTGTTGCTATTTTAGATTAATGCTGTGGTTTTCACTACACTGAACGAAATTCATTTTCTCCCAATGTTTTAATCACCTCTTAAATGTGAAGATTGCTCTCCGACCAGTCAATATAAAGAAGATGCCTTTCTTAGTGATAGCTGAGGTAGTCTCTAGTGAAGTAATGTCTTTTTTTCTTCCAGTAGCTTTTAAAATTTCTGACTCTGAAGCCTTTGTCCAAATTTTGATTTGTACTGCATAGATTGTGTTTGGGGGGGGTCTATCTTAAATCACAATTTATTAATATATGAAATTTTAATAGAATTTTCTATGGTATGTTTGATGTTACTTCAGCTTTATTAGGTATATAAAAGCACTTAACACACACTTTTGAATTAATTATTACCAGTTGATATTTTAATGTATTATTTGCCTAGTTTTCAAGAAATGATCAAGAAAACATCAATATATAGCCATCCATTAGTTCATCGCTTAATGGATCCAGGAGTTGAAAAAGGTAAATTATTTTATGTTTCTTTATATAATTTGACCAATTCTAAGAAGACAAACAACTAATAGAATATAAGTGCTTACCTTCTCAGTGTTCCCTAACGTCTTAAAGAGAGCAAAGACTTGTCAATTGCATATTGCATCTTGGCTTGCATTTGCTAACCTGAAAATATCTATAATAATGCGGAATGTCTACTCTGATACCTATGGTCCTGATGATATGTTAGGGATAATTTTGACAAATTAAATATATAGACTTGCTAAGTAGTTAGAATTTTTTTTTTGATATGAAAAAGAAGAATAAATTTTTTCCCCAAGTGCTATACACTACATACATGATTGTGATTTCTAACATATTTCTTTTTAGATAGGAAGAGAGATAAAAATAGTTTTGTGTAAGGCTACAAGTTTTTATGAATGCCTGCATGAAAGATGATTTTAGACTATAAAAACATTTTTAGTCTGTGTTTATGGTTCCTCTGATGTATTAATAGAGACAAATACATAATGTGATTTGACCTTTCAGTATAAGGAGAATTTAAGTTTGAATTCTGCTATAATTGTAGTTATTTGAAACAGACTTCCCATTTTTACATCATTTTAAATATCGAGAGTGCCTTTGCATGGATTATGTAATGTAGCTATCCCCATTGACTTGAAATGAAAAGTGCAGACAGACACTCTTGATGTAGACCTGAAGAGCTAGTACTATGTTTTTGTAGAACATTTGTCATGCAAATTTAATTATCTTGGCTTCTTTCTTCTTCTCTCTCCTTTATCTACACATGGATGTTTTCTAAGAGTTGTAGTCCTTTCCCCCCGCCCTCCCCCCCTTTTTAGGCATATCAGGTGGCCTCTACCTACGTGAGCATATCTTTAGGCCAAGAGAGCTGGGAGTATACCCAGTGTTGGCAGCCTACATGGCTTTAACACAATGGTTTTACTGTAGTGATTTTTGCAAACCTAAACATTTGAAGTCGTAATCACTTAGAGAATCCAACCATTTAGATGATTTGAATGAAGATGCAATTTCTGTGCAGTTTATGAATAAAATTTCATCATTATCATTATCATTAGTAACAATGCTTGGTTTCAACTGTGCATACGATAATTTGTCAAATTACAAAGGAAATGGGAGAAGTTCAAGGTAAGGTCGAGACAGAACTAGTGTTAAAAATTTTTATAACACGAGAAAACACACCCATAATCATCTAGATAGCCTAAAGCTTTAAAAATATGTTCACAGGCAGATTAAGTGTGTGCTGTGGGGGCAGAGTCAGATGGCTTTTTGTTGGAAAGACGTCCACTAACCAGAGGAACACTCAGTTCTTTAGTGCTGAAGGATACTGACTTTACCTGTCCTAACTCTTATACTTAGTATCTTGTGCTTGAAAAAGATGGAGCAAACCTATAGCCCAGTTCTATTTCAGCGCTTGCCTGAAGGTCCAAGAATTATAGGATGTCACTAAGTTATACACAGATTACAGTTAGGACTGTGGCACATACCAAATAGTCCTCTGTCTATGGTTTCTAATGCTACATTAAGAGTCTAAGCTGTCTAAAACCTTATCCACATTAACTATTCCAAATATCTTGTGTTGCCTACCTCTTGCTGACAGCTACCCTCCGGCTGTTATCCCACATGGCAGTGTGTTATAACATAGCTCCTCAGGCTCTGTGGACTTGGAGCAGGTTCGTCCTAACCCAAGGCTCAGTGATTTCTGTGCATGACTCCCAAATCTGCCCCTTTAACTGCTTACTTGATGTCCTCCGTACTACCTTGTGTCCATTCAGAGCCCTCCAGAAGCAGATGCCAAAATGGGATTAAATGTGCAGGAGATTTACTGGGGGAAATGTTTGTGGACGATAAAGAAAGAAGGGACAGAAGTCGGTGGGGAGAGCCATCAGATCACGATGCAGTTCTGACACGTGTGAGAGGAGAGGGAGCAAGTCTCCCACTAGACGCATGTTGTCAGTGGAAGGGGAGGGAAGTGGCGTTAGGGGGCAGTCCCGGGGGAGGCATGGCCTCTGAGGAGCCAAAGGGACCGAGCTGGAGCCATTGGGCAGCTGTGCTCCCAGCGGCACCCTCCCTTAACCTGAATGGCACACCTCTGTGGCCAGCGTGTCATACCACAGAGTAATGCATGTTAAGAAAATAATTTCCCTTTGCAGATTTACACCCCTGCCCAACCTATATTTTCTATCTCAGTTTATGGCAACTTCATTTTCCTGGCTGCCCAGAAATCTAGAATCATCCTGGTCCCTCCTCCTCATACCGTTCATCATTCCATCCCACCAATTTTACCAACTTATATTTCCTGACTCCTCATACCCTCTGACACCAATTGTCTTGATTCAGGTCTTTATTATTTCTTCTTGGGACTGTTGTAAGTACCTTCTGCCTACCTGGCTGCCCCACTCTGGGCCAGGGCCCTTTCTTTATCCTCTCTACATCTTCCTTTTTAGTTTTCTCTATAGCTGCATGATCTCTTCAAAAATTCAAATCCTGTCACATTCACCTTCTGCCTAAAATTCTTCCATGTCTCATTATTTCCAATAGGACAAAATCAAGACTTCTTAGCATGACTTAAGTATTTTATCTCATGCTATAACGCCACTCATCCTACATTTTAGTTCTCAGAGTTTCCCAAACTGGAAAACTGCCAAGAGTCTTTTTGCCAGTGGGCTTTTGCATGTGCTGTTTTCTCTGCACGATGTGTCTTGTCTTCTTATTTGACTCGTAGACTCATCATCATCAGGGCTCAGGTCATTCTTTTCTTTTTTTTTTTTTTTTTAAAGATTTTATTTATTTATTCATTAGAGACAGAAAGAGAGAGGCAGAGGGAGAAGCAGGCTCCCCGCCTAGCAGGGAGCCCGATGCGGGACTCGATCCCAGGACCCTGGGATCATGACCTGAGCCGAAGGCAGACGCTTAACCATCTGAGCCACCCAGGCGCCCTCAGGTCATTCTTTTCTGAGCTCTGCAAGATGTGGAGCTTTCTCTATCTATTTTTGAGTCTGTTATAACATTTATATGTTGCTCTATCTTTATATTCATAGCACCCAGGTACTGAATAAAATGAGTGAATGAATGAATTAGCTATGACTGAGGCCTGTTGGACTTGCAGTTTGCTCATTGGTAATGATCTTGTGTTTCTGGTCCCCAGTCCGTTGGCTCCTCTCAGAACCGAGTATAATGTATTATTTAGGGATATCAGGTGAAAATCGTTCACAAGCATCTTTATAAATCTTTACAGAGTTGGATTATGAAGAAGAAAGTTTATCTGAGTAATTCTATTGCTGTTTAAGGGACGTATCAAACTATAGTCTGAGGCAGTAGTTTTAACGTAGTGGTTGAAGGACTACAGCACGTATAATTACTAATGTGAGAATCATTCATCAACTCATGGTATGTGTTTAAACAGTAACCTGAACAACTATCAGCTAAAACTAATGTATTTTCCACATATTGAATAAAAATCACTCTTAAATATATCAGTCTGCCTCAAACGTCTTCAGAACACAAGTGTGAGTGTCAAGTTTGCCTGTCAGTTGTTGCCCTGGAGTGGGGATCTACCACCACTTCCAAGGCTCAGGAATTCATGCTTGGCTCCTAGACCCAATGCTGCTGCTTTAGTTCAGCTTTGCCTGGATTATTGCAGTAGTCTTCCAAGAGCTCCTAGTGTAGCCTCAGCCGCTGCTGCCAGAGGTGAGTGCCTCAGTGACAAATTTGCTCACGTCAGTTCCTGCCCTAACCCCTCACCTTAGAGAACAAAGGTCAACATTTGTTCTATTTGTTCCCGCAAGTGCAACCCCGATCTGCTTCTGTAGGCTTATTTTCTACAACACCCCAACAGGTACCTTGGAAACCAGCTCCATGGGTCTTTTGACCACTCCCCTGGCCTGTCTCCCCGCAGTGGTAGGCGGTTCATCTCCCTTCTCGGCCTGGCCGCCTTCCTCTTCCCCCCGCATGTTCAAATGTCTCCTCCTTGAGAATGCTTCTTCTGATTCACCAACCAGTGGTGCTTCCCAAAGCACTTTAGAAATACTTCTTTTATTGTGCTTATCATACTTCATTCACAATTGCTTAAGTGTCTGTCCCCACAACAATCCAGCAGCAGACATCGAGTACAACTAATTTTGTTTTGTTTTGTTTTTGTTTCCCACTTGCATCCTGAGCAGCCCAGTAAAAGATGAATTGTCCTTCTTCTGTAAATGTAGCATCATTTGATCCACTTGATCAAAGATAACCTCTGTATATTCTTGAAACTAAGCAGACCTCCAGACAAAAAATATTCGTGAACTCTTTTCAAGAATTAATTTTAACATCAGGCCCAAGACCTTGACATTGCTGAGGCATTCAGAATTCTATCTTTCAGTTAGCCTGTGACCATTTACTAATTGGAAAATATCTTTAACATTTTTTTTTAAATCTCTGGCTATTTCTAAGAGACACATGACATTCATCTTTGAATAGAAGATTCTGTTGAATGACAAGACCCTTTCATGTAGTAGAGGGGATTTTACTTTAAATTTTGCTGACAGGTTTTCATGATAGCCCTCAAATGGAAGCTTAAATTCACCTGTCATAGCTATTAAAGACATTTTTTGGTGTATTTCTGTGATATGACCCTTCCATTTAGTATTGTTGTTATTGACCTTAAAAGTATAAAAGAGAAAAATATAGATGGTGCTTCTGTTTTTGAAGGCTAGCTGTAATCTAGCCTCTGAAGTGAATTCACTGTTAGATTTTCCTCCTAAGAAAAGCATCATCATAATGTAGCAGAATCCTGCTAATTTTCACTTCATACTTGAAATTGTTAATTCTCAGGAGAACAAGAGCACCTGGTAGATTTTATTCACTATCAGCAAAGATTTAATAGCAGGAAAATCGTGTTAAGTCTTTTTTGTATCAAAGAGCATTAAAATAAACCCAAAATAGCAACATAATTGTAATATTGTCTTGATTATGTTTTATTTAGTTTGTTTTGATATTTATGTTTTAAT